ACAGCGGGCTAATATTGGCCCGCTTCCGAGAGTTCTACTCCCCAAACTTTCAACACTTACCTAACCTGATTTTCATTGGGCTCTGAAAGGAAAGGCCGTCCGGCATACTTTCATCCAAAACACATTACCCCCTGAAATAAAAGCGCTGGCTACTGACTATATCCTGCCGAAGACCTAGGTTCACCACGAACCCTGCACGAAATTCTCAAGCCACAGCAGTGACGTTGCTCAATGTAGGTCCTAGTTCTCGAAGGGCTTAACGGTCTTCACCGACGAATTTAAGATGGAATGCATGGTTGGTGCCAAAGGTTTTATTGAGCAATACAACGAAAATCTATCCTTCCGCCTATCAGCGTTTACAAGGCTGAAATGTTTACAATGAAGGATTCAGGAAGGTACATCAAACGGAATGAACCCGCAAGATAGCACTCTCCTCTACCGGTGTTAGATCCCAGCTTATGAATGACTATAGGAAAGTGGCCTAGATTTCTGATCAATACGAAATTACCCTAATGTGGGTCCCGGGACCAGAGCTGTGTAATGATCGAATCAATTGAGTATGCATTCTCATTTTTTTTGTTTCAAAAATGTGATTGTTTGATTTAAAAAAATTAACAACCACTATACATATGTTGTGTTTAGTGATGATCTGACCAGGGATCTAACCATGGTTCTATGGAGTGGAAGTACGCACATGTATGTATACATTATTCCCTTATTTGTTCTCAAATGCATGTAAACTATAGTACGCTTGCAAACAATTAATAACAAATTGTGATAAATAGTTTTACAAATGTATTAGGACTTCAAATTTGTGTTTTAGTAAAGTATCAATTAAATAAATTATTATTGTAAATTATTATTATAATAAATAGATATAAAAATGTTTATATTTGACAACGCTTAGACTTTTCTCTAATTGTAACAAATGACAGATGTAAACAAAATAAAAAAATTATTGCAATTTTACAAATTTAAAGAAAACGGACATTCTTTACAAAAAAAATATAGTAAGGGATCGAATTGCGCATATTTTTCTTACAATACCAAGTGCCCCCAAGAAGTGTTAAACCACTAAATACCCTAAAAAACGCCTTCAACAATTCGAAACGAGAGCGAAGTGCAGTGTTCAAAATTGTGATCGAAATTACAGGCAAAATTTGTGCGTTTGTAATTAATGTTTTATTTGAAGAAATGTTGCCCGTTGTCATTAAAAATAAGCAAACCAAAGGCCTCCTCCGCACCCGCCTTCCCACTGGTGGTTACACAATACATACTTGAATAGCCCCTTAATTAACATTTGCTTGTTTTGTGCACGCACGGCCATTTAAACAGGCATGTCTGAATCGATTTGCTTCTAAATTTTTAGGCCCGGCCCGGCACGAGTGCAAAATCAACTTTCAAAACACGCACGAGCCCGCACGTTAAGAATTTTAGTGGGCCCCGGCCCGGCCCGTCCCGGCCCGGCACGATGGGACACGTCCCAGCCCGGAAATAAAGAGC